GAGAGAGAGAGAGAGAGAGAAAGAGAGAGAGAGAGAAAGAGAGAGGTGGGGGGAGGAGGAGAGGGAAAAGGGGGGAGAGGGCGGATTTCCAGTTAAGACAACAGAAAAATCGAACGATGGTGTTTCTGTCTGGGGCTGACCCTCTGTTGTTTTCAGGTACTGTAACATGAACAGCAATGACGTATTCATCCCACCAAGGCCATCATAACTCAGACATTCTTTTTCCTGGCAGATTTAGACAAGTCGGACTCAGAAGATGGCACTGCCCAGATCATTGACTTTGCCAGGGTATGTAATCTCCAAAATTTGAATATAGCCAGTTTCCTCTAATAAACAAAGGCGTACATTTCATTATGTAAGCTACAGGGGGAGCTATGTGTCTTGTCTTTTAAACAAAGGTAATTTGAACATACACTTTCTGTACACAAAGAACAGCTGTTTTATTATTAATTTAATGTTTGCAGCTCAGTACGATTTGTATTCGGTAACAATTCTTGGTTCATTTCTAACATTTCTAACAAATGACCAGCGCATTCTTTACTTTGTTTCAGGAAATTATCATAATAACGTTCTCATCTGTAAAGGAGAAGAGACGTCTTACCTTACAAGAAGTGAAAAATAAAAACAAACGACACAATAATAACAGATACATCGACAACAACAACAACAACAACAACAACAGCACCATCAACAGTAACAATAGTAATTATTGCTACAACAATAGCAACAACAACCACCAAACAACAACAAACAGTCGCCCAATAGTCCCAATTTCTGCAACAGCAAAGAAAAAGCAACCCCCTACCTTAACGAAAGTAGTCTATAAAGAAACATGCCACAAAATTTCTCTTTGTTTTCAGGAAGTCGCGAAAGACGAAAGCATCAACGAAGACGAGGCGGCCAAAGCGATGGCGGCCAGGCTAGCCAGAGACAAACCCAAACCGTCTGGCTGGTATCGAATCAACGCTACCCGCTTGCTCACTGGAGGTCACAAACTCACGCCGAAAACAAACAAAGCATTTGATGACGTAAGTGGGTGCAATGATTTGGTGGTTTATGAGATCAACTGGAGAACA